GGGGGGGAGAGCGAGAGTGTGTGTGTGAATGATTAGCTGCTATATTGATAGTAAATAACCACCGCTCCATCCACTCTGTAAATTCATAAATGATGTCTAGTTTAGGGTGGGAGTGGATTTCAGTTTTGAAGACGAACTTGCTCTCTTGCTACGATTTAGAGATTTGAAGTGAATGACATTTGTGTAGAAGACTTTCATAGTAACATAGATTTAGTGCTTAGAACAAGCGAAAGGGATGGAGTCCGATTTTTCCCTGTCCACGATTTGTTTCCATTTTCTTTTCTGTTCTGTCAGCTGTAATGTAATGAGCACATGTCATAACCTCATATGGTGTTGTTTACAAACATGACCCCAGACAGACAGAATAAATGCTGCATAAAATACATTCTGAAATTAGGCCAAAATGATGATATGTTGGAATGTCAGGGAAAGCATCCTATTCCAGAAAAGAGGGAAACGAATATTTCTGATTTTTGAACGATCTGATGTTTCGTTCTGTTTTTTAAAAATATTTTTTTTATACATGTTCTCGATAACAAGAAGCGAAGACAAATCCCTGGTCGATAAAAGATAGACAGGAAGATAGACACCGGCATCCATAGCCTCAGGAAGTGGGAGCGGCTGACAGTAGAGGTCAGTAGGTACCTGTATGATTGTCCATCGACCTGCATCGATGGTCCCCTAACAAGGGACTCTCTTGCCGTAGGTCCACGTGACCACTTTGTACTGGTCCTGGTTCCTGCGTGCCGTGGACACAGACTCGCAGTCCTTGGGCTGAACAGGTAGACACAGGTGTAACAATTGGTGGTCAGTAGAGTGGACTGGCTAAGACATTGAGTTGAACACGTAAACAAGTGTGTAACAGTTGCTGATCAGTATAGTGGACTGGCTAGGATGCTGTGTTAAATATGTGCACAAGTGTATAACAAATATTAAATATCTTTATATGTTTGTATGAACGCCCTTGAAGATATAATAATTTGGTTATAGAATGAGTTACCTGCCTGTCAGGAGGAACCCGGGTTAAACTGGTTATAAAATCCCCCCCAAAATATTATAGAGATACTTGATAAAACACATTCTACTCTCAGGAAAAGGAACTCCCGTTTTCATTTTGCAACGTCTCAGAACAAAACCACTACATCATGGACATCGGTGTAAAAAAAAAAGCCAACAAAAGAAACAATTTAGAATCAATACAGGGTAGTGATTATGGCCTTGGACTGTACACAAAGACTTGTGTAAAACTGGCCCTCCTCTCTTCTTTTCGAAATCAAACGAAGATTAGCTAAAAAAAAGACCTCCTCCCAACCCCCCCAACAACAACAAACAAGCACAACAAGAAACAACAACAACAACAACAACAACAACAACAACAACAACAACAACATCAACAACAACAAAAACAACAAACAAAACAACAACAAACAAACAGAGCCAACACATCACTCACGCCCCAATTCTCCTGTCTCTGCCTTCCCTTGCCATCCAGGAAAGTCAAGAGGTTTGGATAGAGCTGAGTCTCCAGGTACTCCCCAATCATCCCAATACGTCGGGAGTCGTTGGCCAAGGCCTCTTCCCGCAAACCTTTTATCTATGGCCACAGGTCCAGGAAGTGTTTATAGTTGTAGAAACCTATTACGCTACACGTATGGATGAGAATTTAGACGATGAAGGTACGTGGATCTCCTATGTTTTACGCTCATTTTGACAAAGTTTTGGGCAATTTACGATGCTACGACCCAACCTGTCATGACCATCACAGGTCGTTTGTGGTACATAATCCCAGCAGAAAGAGATACTCTAGAACATATCTTGAGCAGATTTATTGTGGTGCTCTTACAGCGTGGTAATGTTAAAGACTAAGAGACAAATTCTTTTTCAACATTATATTTTTCTCTAAATAAAACAGCGAACTCTTTCGTGTGTCATTTTAGTTGAGTAAAGAAAAGCTGATTGGCACAATGCTGGCCCGCAAATTCCAGGAAATAGTGAGACAGACAAAGAAAAACAATAGATTGAAAAAAAAACAAAAACAAGAAGTAAAACCTACAAGTGACACCCTCCAACAACTAGCAACATTGAACGCTTTGTTTTCCCAGAATGTTTTAGTTTCAAACACAACGCCCCCAAACCCAACTCCCCCCCCCCCCCCCCCCCTCCCGTGTCTCTCCTCTTAGGTATTGGCACTCACCCAACTAACAGTGATAATGTTATTGATAATGATAATCATAACGATTAAGGCAATGAAGTCAATGACACTGACAGTATCAAGAGAAATGGCAACGACTATGATATTTGCAGCAAGAGTGGCCTTGATTTTGGCAGTGACTGACAGTAACAATAATAAAAATACTGAGAACGACGAGGCTGTGGCAGTTACGATATCTATCAGGGGAGAGTGGCCTTGGACGTGACTGCAAATGTCTTATAAAGGTGGGTTAAGTTAGATAATTAGTATAATCACAAACACACACACACACACACACACACACACACACACACACACACACACACACGCGCGCGCGCGCGCGCGCGCGTACACACACACAAACACTTACACATAAAACACCCCAACATATAACGGCACATACAAACACAACAACGCGCACCTACACACCGGCACAAACACACACACGCAAGTGCACGGTAACATACACACAAAATAACACTTGATTGACAGGTAAAAAGTTTAAGTTTTCACTTCTCAGCCAGGGCTCGGGTTACCTAAATATTGACCAGAGGTGAGTTGCGTGGAGAGAGCGACACAGAGACACAGAACTTGTAAGGATATCATTTTGTTTCTTTAGCTGGGTACACTCAGTCTCCACACACCGATGTCAGACAAACAAATTGGTCAGGTTCTAGGAGCTGTGGGACTATTAGAGAATGGTTTCGTTTCCTGGTTTGGGTAAAGAGAAGCACATTTACATACCTATACATGCAGTGATCATTCAGTTGAGGAGACTTTGAGACGGACCGACTAAAAGACAGTCAAGACACAGGCAATGAAAAGAAGCAAATTCGCACAGGAATTATCGGATATTGCAGCAAAAGACACGTCCTTTTCAGATCACCTCATAAACATTTTGCTTCCAACTGAAAAACAAAACTTTTTACAACCACAGTCAACTAGATCTCTTCTATGGGCTCCCGGGCAAAGAACTAAATTCTTAGTTCAAAGCTACTCATTTTTTTGGCCAATGATGCGCCATTATTTGGCTGAGAACGTTTTACACCCCCTTCTACACTTCTGTCAGAGACAACCCGGGCTAATTAGATCATGAACTACACTTTCAACCTGTTTGCGTTATTTGGGTCGTCATGTGCTTCCAATGAGTTTGCAGAAATTAAAGAATAAAGAATATAACAACAGTGGACCATTTTTTCCTTCAATTATAATTACTGTGAAAATATAGCGTTAAGCATTATGTATTTGGTCCAGTATGGTTTACTATGATGGAATCCAACAGGAGACAATGCCAAGAGAAATAATGATTTCTGCATAAAATATTCTGCATTGATTTTTTTATGAAAACATAAATCAGAGAAACCTTCAATAAAAGCAAAACAGAGACGATGAAAGTCAACAGAACACTTGGCAACCTTAACATCACCATGGATGGAAGTCCGCTGAAACAAGTCAGCGAGCTCAAGTATCTTGGTAGCATCTTTTCGGAAGACGGACGTCTCTACAAAGAAATCTATCTGTACATCCATCCATCTATCCAACTATCTATCCATCTATCTAAGATGTGCACCCTTCAGCTAGTGGACGAGTACAAGGATTATTGTACACGCCAGACTGGGAATAAACGAGTGAAGGGCTCGAGTTCTGATTCAGTAAGTAACATGTCACGTTTATAGGTGATCCCCCCCCCCCCAACTTCCCCTCGCAATCTTTAACTATTTAAAAAGAATATAACCAGCTGCAAAGGAGCACTCGTTAAAATACATTCTTGAAATAAAACATTAATGCATTCTCGATGTGCCTAACAAACTGCAACACTTCATGCCTTACCCATCTTTGGATTAAAAATGTAAAACTGAAATGGACATTGAGATTTCAGGGAGTACACTATTATACATACGCACAGTTGCTTTTTTACTTTATACATGTAGGAAGCAGCGATGCAACTCTTCCTTCCAGAAGTAAGCAACGTTTTCATTTCCTCCATTTTCTTCATTTGTTCCTACGATTATAACTGAATGAGGTGGAACAAACCGGAGACAAGCAGACAGACAAAAACAACAGAGAGAAAGGAAAGAACGGACAAGTGGCACTTGCTTATTAGCCATCGTGTAATCCGAGTATGAATATTTTGAAGCTGCTCCAAGGGAAAAAAACAGTTGTGTTTTCTTCCCTCTTATTTGAAAACAGCACCAGAGACAGGCCTGGTCTATGAGAAGCTTACCTTATTGTCAGCGCTCACGTAGTTCAGAACAACATCGACAGTGACAGAAGGATATCCCGCAGCAGGAGTGACTAGAACAACGCTCACGTGAATCTTTATCTCCAGGTTGTCGGGAATTGCCGACGTGTAGACATTCACATGGTCAGCCAATCAGAATCTGCGACGTCATCGATATCATCCAGTGTGGTTCTGTTGGCAGCATCCAGTTGGACAGAACATTCTCATCGTTGGTGAAATTGATGACAGCAACAATAAGGAAAAACAACACGACCGTCCTGCTGGCAAACATCTTGTCAACACTTTGAGGCCTAGAACTTGTGCCTTGTTGATTGAACCAGTGGTGATGTTTCCCTGGAGCCAACACTCTCTGTCCTTCTACATGGATCGTGGAAGTTTTTTCCTCCAGTGTGGGCTGGCCCTGACACGGAAGGTCGAAGTGACCCGCACCAGACATGACTAAACTATCTGACAATAGAATTACTCTCTCTTCATCCTATGAATATTTTCTTTTTTCACTCTCGAACGTATACACACACACACACACACACACACACACACACACACACACACACACACACACAAATCGCTCACACCAGAAAAGAAACATGAACTTCGCATCAACTATAAGCAGAGGTTATTCATCAGCGAGCGCTTGGCTGATTATTCTGACCCAAAGGAAGGCAGTAC